AAAAATATTATTTTTCTAAAAAATGTTACCTTTTTTTTTAAAGAGTATTTTTTTTTTTTTACTACTTTTGAAAATTTATTTGTAATAGAAGAGGAGAAAAATATTTTGCTGAATTTAATTGTGTGATATTCAATGAACGCTTCGAATAATAATTTCTTTTGTCATATTCTTGTTTTTTTTTTTCTTTTTTTTTTGTCATTGATATATTTTTTGTTTATTTTGTTATCATTTTCTTAAATATTGGTATTTTATACTAAATATAAGTAATGAAAATTTGAAAAACTTAATTTATGCGAAAATTTCTTTCAGTTTGTAAAATTCAAATATGCTTAAATATATTTGAATAATTGAAAAGAATAAGAAAGAAGGAATTTTTGGAAGAAAAAAAATTTTTTTAAAGAATTTTGGAATACTTGAAAATTGCAAGTTTTCCTTCTTTTTTTCCTTTTTTTTTTTGTTATTGGAAAAATTATTCGAAAACGCTTAATGACAACATAAAGTAAAGTAATCATTAATATTTTACTCAATTTTTAAAAATTTAAAATTATTTAGTTCTTTTTCGTAATTTTAACTTTTTCATTTTTCTTTTTTTTTACTAAAATTTAGTATTTGAAAAATTCATGAAATTATTCCAATAAATAAGTATTTTTATTCATAAAAATAAGCAATTATATTATTTTTGTGTTTTTTTTTTCAATAAAAGCAATAATAATGTTAATAATATTTAATGGAAATCATTATTCAAAAATAAAAAAAGAAAACATATCATTAATATTAATATTTAATAGGAATTACTAATTAATTTTACATTTGTTATCATGTTTCAGATTATCAATAAATAATATATTACTGTAGATGAATTTTATTTTTATCATCGTAACATTTTCATCGTTGTATTTGAATTTGATCGTTTTTTCATTCATTGTTAAAAATTTGTTTATCATTAAAATATAGGAAAAACGGGAGAGAGAGAGGGAGAGATAGAGAGAGAGAAGAAAAAAATGAAGATGAAATAAAAACAATAAAGTGGAAAAAGATAGATTAGGTCAGAAGTAAATTATCCTATATCACATAATCTGTTAATTTCTTTAAATTATCTTTCATGAAATAATATTCAAATCTTATACTAAATACTCAAATCATAAAACTAGTACTCGAATCTTAAACCAAATACTCAAGCCACAAACCTCAAACCAGTACTCGAATTCTAAACTAAATACTCAAGTCATAAACTAATACTCAAATCTTAAACTGAATACACAAATCATAATACTCAAATTTTAAACTTAGTTCTAGAATTCTTAGTGACATAATTTTTTCCATTATTTATTTGTTATTTGAATTTATTCTATCCATGAATTATTGTTGTTCAATTCATTTTAAACTAATCTAATAAAATTGTATTATTCATCGGAAACAGTGAAATTTTGATGATAATTTTCGAAATTTTCAATTGAATTCATTATTTTGCAGGTGAAATATATTATATTAGACTGGATTAATGGTATTGATTCTGTTTTTGAATTTGTATTTATTCTAATTCTTCAATCTAATCGCTTATTAGTGACCAAAGTGTACTTCAAAGGATAACAATAGAACAATGTGCCTTTCATTCATTGGACAATTTATATTCAGTATTTTAATGGTCATTACACTTGCATTGACCACTTTGTCAATGTTTCTACCCGGTCATTATGTTTGCAAAAATTTATTTTCGCATTTTTAAAATTTGCAAATTGTGCTTTTTTTTAAATGAAAAAAAAAATTTTTAAATTAATACTTCAAAAATTTTGATTTGATTTGTGTAAAATATCGCTTCAATTAAAGTTTCAAAACCTGTTCATTTTTCTTCATGAAATTTTTTTCAATTGTCACTAATTTCAAAGATATGTTCGATTGAAATAATAGGTGGGAGTTACGAGATTTATTTTAATGATGATGATTTATCTTAATTTATCTTGATAATGATAGGGTTATATCTTAATGATGATAAGAAAGAATCAAATTTGCTAATCATTTGGAATTTCTTTTTTCATCTCACCCTTAATGACATAACAAATTAATCCCTCGTTTAAAACATCATGTAGGGAATAAAAAAAATCACAAGGGAAAATTCTATTCCAAAAATCATATCATGAAAATAGCCATAATTAATTGACTTAAAAATGGATTATATTAATTTAATTTAAAAAAAGTTATTTCATTTCAACATTATTTCCTCATTATCGTTATCATCCAAAGTTCATTTTCATTATAAATTTTTTTTAGGCTTAAAAGAATTGCAAGAAGTAGCAGCAAATGTAAGCAAAGATTTGAAACATTTCAAAATTCCCAAAGAATTTATTTCACTTGAATCGTTATGCCGAATTGCATCAAGTGACAATGCCGCATTTAATAATGAAACTAATTCCGCCGATTTTTGCAAGCAATGGTTTAATGTAAGTAATTTTAGAGTTATTAGGAAATAAATTGAAAAAAAAAAATTATAATAATATATAAACTTAAAAAATACAATGTATAAATTTAAAATATAATATATAAATTTAAAATATATATAAAATAATGCATTAAAAAAAATTTTGATTATTTTTTTTAGCAATTAGAAGATTGGGAAAAGATAGTGGTGATATTGATGTGCTTATCAGTGATTACTGAAATGATGACAATTTGTTGGACATTAATTTCATTCTTTGGATGTTATTGCCGAAGAATATGCATGCAATTATTACCAATACTTTCATTAATTGTTGCTTTATTTCTTGCATCAGCAATTGCATTTTT